AGAGCAGATTGCATTATGTGTTTCTCTAGTCATCCATTCTTTAGCGGCTCTCGTGACTTTAAGGATTTTCTGCGCCCTGCACTGTGTGGCTATTTATTCGGTCATAAACCGACATGTCAAGTATGCGAAATATTCCGCCATTTTCTTCATAAGGTATCCAAAATATTGTACTTTTTGTTAATGTATATATGTAAGAACGGGGATTCACTGTGACACTGTTTTGATATCCGTTCATTCGTTTTAGTGTCATTGTGAAGTAGAGTTCCTAACAGTTTATAACAGTAATCTGTAAGTTCACCGTACAACAAAGAGCGGTTCAGTTTCAGCGGATTTTTCTTCTGGTATCTCTTTGATGTTTCATAACTGGCAGTTGATCTAATTACAACTTTCTTGAGTTTCAGCTGGTACATTTTGTTGCGTAAACTTGAATCAGTATGGTTTACTTTAGAGAGCAAGAAGAAGCGTTAGAACAGTTTCATTGCCGTAATAGTAAACGTAGCCAATAGATTTGAAGTACCATTTCTAATGTTGTGACGGAACTGTTGTATCCCTGTTAGCGCCAGAGGACGACGAACAAAACAGCATCAAGAGCGACAATTTTCTAATGTTGTGACTTTGCCATATTCTAGTTATTCTTCTCACGCAGGACAGCACATAAAAGCTTTTTCGATTCTAGGTTCATTTTGCATCCTGCACCGCAACTGTTGTTACACCATGGAGCCATGGCCCAATTAAAGGATGTCCTCTGAGCAGGTAGAAGCAACGAGCCAGTACTACTCTGCCGTGTGAATAGGACGAATGAGCAGGAAACAGCTACTTATTCACTTGCTTGCTTAAGCACGTATCAGGAGAATATTCATTTGATAGATGGATAATGGGCTTGGGATCATGAGCATGTTTTACGTGTTGTCTTCCATGACAAAACTGGTCACAATATGGAAAAGGCTCAATATAACAAGTTATACTAAACTGATACTTAAAAGACAATGTTTCGAATTCGCTATTTTTTGGCACCTTTGTTCTCGCAGCATAACTGTTGATGATGTTTTCGATTCTAAGCCCATTATTTCCCAACGGAATACTTTTTTGATGAATGGTTAAATTAGTTAGTGAGTGAATGAATGTGAGTTAGTCAGTAATTAAGTGAGTGTCTCCTGTCAGTTCTTCAGATTTACACAGCGTTATTACATTGTCCCGTTGCCTTTGGCGATCTGGAAACCATTTAAATAGATTTTTGTAGCACTTTAATGTGTTGATTCAAAACAGCATCGTTACAGGGGGTCAAACGAAAATTTTCGGCTTATCTAGTTTAGTGGCACAGTGGAAAAGAGGTCGACTTCGAACTCCAAAGCTTCCAGGCCGAAATCGAAAGAACGGAAGATTTTTTTCTTAATCGCGAATTGCCTTGAGCAACGAATTTACCCCAATTTGTTTCGGTGCCATCAGTCGAAAAATGAGTGGCAATTAGTTGATATGGAAACAACGAGGAAAGCATAGTATGCTGCCGTATACATATTCCTCCGCATGACGGACTAGCTGGATAAACCACTGATTGTCCTCTTCAGTAGGGTGATGAGTTGGTGATGTCCAGCATGGAGTTGCTGACTCCTATCGAGATCAAGAGCTCATCAAGAGCCTCCCTTCCAGATTACAAAGCGTCAGTAAAAAAATGTGAAGGAAGAAGGCTATAGCTGACAAAAGTTGACAGCCTAAATGAACTGCTTATGAAACTCGCCAAAAATATGTTATACTAGGAAGAATCTCGGGACCCTGGTGTAGGGTAGGGCATCAGCTTGCCCAAAACTGGGATTATTTACGACTCAGTGACACGACTTACAAACCTCAGTAAGATATAATCAAGATCTTCATGGTTATCCACAACATCGAAATTTACATCATCGGAGGGAAGAAAGTCAAGCCATGTTTTCCATGTATACGAAAATTGAAGATCCGTCGAACGTATCGTATAATCGAACATTGATATCAAATATTCGTGGGAAAAGCGTACTAAAACCGATATCGCACACATGGTGTAGAAGTCATTGTAAAGAAGAAGTTTTTACTCCTCATAGTCAGTTCAAACCTCATGTCACCCTGTTTCGCCGTACCAGTTCTAAAGGTAATCAACACAAATCACTAAAAATAATCTAGTTTACAACCTAATGCACCAAGCAGATGAGAAAAAAGTAAAGTTCTATGAAGAAATGGGAGGCGAATGCAAAACATGTCTACGTGCACAATCGTCTAAGGAGATTTCAGTGTAACAGTAGGAACAGGAACAACCGAGACAGTGAATTTCAGTGAACATTTCAGAAGTGTAGAGTGAAACTAGTGCAGCTCTTCACAGCTTATTCGCTCCACAAACAGAATCAGTGTCGCTATAGAAGATTGAGTTAAAAAGGCTCACAGACCATTGGTCATTGGACAAATATTTGACCCTGATCCTAGACAAGTTTCCTCAGCTGAACCGCGCAGTAGACGTCAACAGAGGCATCGATGCAGTCTACTTATTTCTCATCGATACCATTAAAACTATTATCCGGTCACTCGGACGGGCAGCGGTGCTGATGCTGATAAACGCACCAGCCCTACAACGGAGCAGCTACTGGTAGAAAGAGCCAAAATGGCGGCTTATTGACAACTGGAAGACGAGAACACTGCGTTGTGCAAAGAAATACGAAAAAAGATTCGAAGGAATTTTGGAGAGTACAGGAAGAAGAAGCTCAGAGACCGCATTAGCGAAGAATCGCCTGAAGACCGTGGAAAAGGGCATTCGCTTAAAAGAACGGATTCAAGTGGTAGTAAAAGTCCAAGAACCATAGATTGCTGTCGCATAAAAGCGATTTGCACGAGGTTCTGCAACAACCTCTACTCCACGAATGTAGAGTAAACAGGAAGCTGCCACATGACTCCCAGGACGCCTTTCCTGATGTCATCTGGAATGAGATAGAGTAAATAATCAAAAATATCAAAAGTGGCATTCACAACAGGCAGGCTAATATTTGGAATGTCACAAGTCAGGAAGAGCGACCCTGTTTAAAGCCCTTGTAAAACGGTTTACAGAGTACATTAGGTTGAAGAAGATGCTAGAAGCTGGAAAGAACTCTTGTAGATGATTATTCTATGCAGTAAATGCGATGCTGAAGACCTCCAAATCCATCGGCCTGTCACGCATCTGACACAAGTCTACAAAGTCTTTACCTGAATCTTTGTCAACTGTATTCCAAAAATCTAGAACTGCTCGCTAGTAAAGAATAACCCGCCTTCCAAACTGGGTTCTCCACAATAAACTTCATCTACTTTGGGAAGCGATTAACAAAGAGACCCAAGGAATACTAATTCCCCTTCTGCTGCACATTCATAGACTTAGAAAAGCGTCAGGTTTGGTCGTTCTGAGCGCTACACTTGTGCAACGGTGATATAAACCATGTCTATACTTCGAACTCACTGAAATATTGAAATGGACGCCATAGTCGACATCAAGCTGCTCGAGGAACTGTGATGGATTTAACATCAACAGAAGAGTATGCCAAAGAGACACTGAAATCACTCTTTAGCTGTCTAAACTTGTGCAGCACCATTCACATCGACGGCTCACCCATCGCTCTATGAAGCTGACATTCTCACGTTGACCAAATGACCGCACGGCGAAGATAACAAAGATTGTTCATTTCCAAAATGATTCATGCGCCATTTGTCTGGAGACAAATATCTCATAGATGAAATGGAGCTGCAAGGCGCACTGCTCCGAGCCCCAGTTTCGCTGACAGCGGCAAAGTGAAAAATGTTCTCAGCTACTATACCTCATCCACTTAATGTACTCCAGCAACAAAATTAAGGCGATATGAGCAGAGGAAGGAAGGTGGCATGGGAAAATTTCACTCATACCAAGACATCGCTACTAAATAACGAACTTTTTGCTCATGGCCACAAAGAAGGAACTGTTCGCCATGATTTGTGGCATGTAGTGCTAGTCTGCCACAAAGGGTGAAGAAAAGAAGCTAGTAGTAATGCAAAGGGTGATGGAAAGAAAAACATTTCTGTTCGACATTATATTCTGATTGCGATAGTTCGGTGTCTGACGCGAGTTTTGGGTGCACTCACTAAAGAGACGATGAGCTGGCCATTTGATATGGCTCGTCTAAAGGACAGTAGGTGGACACAACGAGTTACCGGCTGGATCCTTCTCGGCAACAGACGTACACTGGGTCATTCACCAACATCCTGAAACAATCCAGTGATAGAGCCGTTTGGTCAACCGTGGATGCAAAGGTCACAACACCTAGTAGAGTGGCGAAAAACCAGCTTGGTTTTTTGGAAAAACCAGAAAAAATGTATATATAATCTCTGTATTTAGTAGTTCGCTAGTAAACTCAGACTACCGATTCGAATCGAGGCATATCAGTTTGTGTTCTGACAGGTTTTTGCTGAGCCATACACGTTTATGCGTTGCCAGTGCTATGATACTATAAAAATCCTGCAACTATGCAGTTTGACTCCGGGGATTGATAGGAGATATTCTTATCGACGGTATTGAAACCTAGTAGTTTTCTGGCAATCCCGGGGGTATCATGGTTAATTACAGAGCCAGTAATTAAGAATAAGAGGCGTGTAAGCAAGTAAGAAAGTAACTGCGAGATGAAGTTAGTTTTACTGCTTGAACGGAATGGTATAGATATCTGTTTTTTTAACAGTCCAAGAGTTTAGAATATAAACCAGTCTGCGGGGCCGAATGGCAAAATAGCATATTACCCTATCATCGCTTTCGCTGCTTACTGAAAATTCGCTACAGAAAAATATGCTGAGGAACAAATATCGTATAATAACTTACTTATAATTAGGTTCCAATAAATCTGTTGGTACTCTTATTGTTATTTTGTCTATTTTCGCCAGATCTGAATCTATGTACTTGAATGGAATATTTTGAAAATGCTTTTCTTTCTTAGATAATATATGTTACTGAATGGATGACAGTGGCTTCAGTGCTGACGATTGTATGTATGGCCCTGCAGAACATTTACGACTTCTTTCTTAAACTCTATCAGTTTTTGTTGTTCTTCGTTCGAAAGCAGACGAGAAGCGTAAGTTATTTTTTGTTAATTGTTTTTGTTCAAAATACAGTATCGCGTTTTTCAGGTTATCCAGTACCAGGTCGTTAGATATGTGGCCGTTCCTCTTAGTCCGTTGACATCCCAGAGATTAAGTACGGATTTTACGTCTTTAATGTCAATTTGCACGTGGATGAATTTGACGTTTCGGCAGTTTTCATAAATTTTTCTTATACCTTCGCTTCTGCATAATATTTTCAATGTTGATTTGCTTTTTGTAAGCTTATTTTTTTATTCACGAATTTTACTTGCATTTGATGGTACGAAAAGTTGGCTATTAAACGGACGTGGCACTTTAACATTTCCTTTGATTTCTTTAGCTCTGCCATGAAAACGTGGAGGTCCTGCGCGGTTGTTGTTGTTTAACATAGTTGGTTGGTTGATGACCGTGAGTCCTATATGGCGAATCTACTGCTCAACAATAGAAGTTTTCAGAAAAATCATGCTTTATGCTATCACTTCCTCGTTATCATCACTGTCGTAATCAGTGCATATGCGTCATCATTGTCTTTATAAGCATTTTCATAGCCATCATCGTCGTCATCGACGCCACCGTTATTATATCGTCTGCGACATTGCCATCAACATTCTGTTCTTCATCGTCAGCTTGTTTGTTATCATCTTCGTCATCGTAATTATCACTAGCGTCGAATATGTAAAAAAATTAAGATTGGGATAATTTCCTTATTGATAAAGAATTTAATCTTGAGATGTCGTTAGCAGTGAGCAGTATGCGGCGATATCGTATCCTTGTAAACGGTAGAATGTGATGAGTGATGACAATACCGCAGGAGATTCTCCAGGACGAATTATCTTGACAAAGCCAGAGAGAAAACCGCCAAGGGATCGACCAGGGACAAGGTGACTTGATTAATTCGAAGACCTCACGTTGTCGCGCATTGCTTTCCAAACTATTAAGCTTATATGTTTAGCGACTGTCCGGAATCGTTAAAAGGTCTCATGAAGTACCAGCCTCTACAACCTTAAAGGAATAGCAGACATTGAAACCATATGAGTGAATGAATCAATCCAAAGACAGTGGCTGAGCTACCTTCTTTCAGTCGTGCTCAATCTGTCTTGTGATTGACTCGTAGAGTTTTCCTAAATGATCTTACTATTGGTAGAAACCGTTGTATTAAATTGATCTTTTCGGTAGGCGAAGTGTTCCTTTCGTATGTTTCTTTCTGAGATCTTTAAACTTGAATCATGATAATAGATTATAGTTTTTTTATGGTACTTCATTGAACGATGCTTCATTTAGGTATGATCAGGCGAAAGGTTTTCATACTGGATTTGGACGAGACGCTGATCCATTCTCATCACGATGGCATATTGCGGCCAATGGTTAAGCCGGGAACACCTCCGGATTTTGTGCTGAGGGTAAAACAACAATGTCTCTATTTTTCGTAAGGTCATTTTCTGAAGGGATACTAACAGTACTTTTTATAAACGATAGATATGTATTCCAGAGGAAATAAGGGATCTAGGCACTTGTTTTATGCTAATTATATACCTTAGTTTCATTTAAATGAATATATTTATTGTAAGTTCATTTTCAGTATACGCCAATGATATTTAGGCTTTCCACCTTTTGAATTAAACGCTCATTTTAGACGTGATACAAATATTCTGTTTTATTTTGTTGTCTCGTCTTTCGGCACAGAAGACATCATTGATCATAGGGGAAGAAGCATTTGTTTAGATAGATCACGCTTGATGCAGTTGTCTTCTTCTCTTAACATGAGGTACCCTAATTGGTACCAAATCACGTATTTCTCTTAAATACTGGTCTTTTGATTTTCAGGTTGTGTGGAGGGAGGAAGTGTGGATAGAATAAGCTTAAAATGAACTGCAATCCAAACATTTGTAGCAAGTTCTGTGTCATTGGTAAATCAGTTTTAATCATGTTGCGTTAATTGTGTCGGTTTCTCTCTCTCTCTCTCTCCTCATTTTGCTCTCTGTTCATTCCACTGTGGAGGTCTGCAAAGTTTTCCTTTTTTCATAATAATCTCTCTTTGGATCACTTTGCCCTCTTTGTACGGTTACTGTATGACACAGTTCTTAGGCATACTGTGTTCTGCGGCTGAGCGATTTTCATTTTTTTGTTCATATACACCACTTGTTTCTGGGTCCTGCTTTTGACCTTTCTTACGGTTTCCCCAGTATAGCTATTCTCACTGGAGCACTTCTGTGAGTTCTTCGTCATGAGAGTTGCTTGCATCTTTATCTTTGAAGTTTGAATATCTTAAGTCTAAGCCGATACTATTTTGGAGTTGCCGTTTTGTTCTTACACCACTATACTTCATCAACCATGGAACTGGAACCTGAGCGCAACGGTGTCACGGTTAGACCCTCCTCCCCGTTCTTGAAATCAAAGCCACGTTTCCTGTAATCAGCACATATCATCAAAACATGGGTGACTGCACCTGACTTAGCCCATCCTATAGGTGACTTTCCGCCTTAGATTGAAAATCCGTGATGCAGTTTGCTTTAGAATTAGCGGCGGCGTTGGTACATTCCCTGCTTTTATGCTAAACTGTTTAAACAGCAAATAAAGCCTAATTATTTAAATGTAATGAAGATGTGCGAATGTTGAAAAAACCACTATCTAGAGTTACGTTGAAAGTTCCTTTTGCAGACATACCTGTTTGTTTTGAGTATAGTATTCTTACCATTTTTGTGCCTGGATATAATATTTAACGGAATTAGAATCTTTGTAGCCTTTGGGTTATTAGCGTCCAATGCACTCCCGTATGTGACGATCGAATTTTGTATGCTTTGTAATGTTGCTTCTGCTGCGCTACTGATTTCACTCCAGTCATGCTTTAGTTATGGAAGCAATTCCAGTGGCCATTGGCAAATACAGAATACAAGAGATATTGGAGATCATAGAAAGTTTTTAACCGTTGGGATGTTAGTCTCTCTTACAGTTTCATGACTGGGCGCGATTTATTTCATCCTTCTTTCTTTTAGTTTACGACTGCATGCGGGGAATGTAAGGCAATTTCGACTGCCATTAGGTATTTTGTATACGTGAGTTGATACTGCTAGAACAGCGCTAGAAAATCTACTGACACGGTATTTTAGCGTCTGAATATTTGGATAACGATAAAATAGGTTTGATTATTCTTGTTATTCAACAGCGATATGAGGTATATTTATAATTGAATTGTTCATTGATGGAGCTTCTGCGGCGGCACCGATCTTTGTTTTGTTATTGTCGTCAACAAAAATACTTTTTGGAGCCGTTTTCACTT